TGCATTGAGAAGAACACCAAGATGACGGGGGGGGAGGCAGTGTTCATTAAAAACAACAGGTGTTTGAGGCGGGAATGTCCACAAAGGAAGGGTAAAAACAAAGATTAAGCTAATCTGGAGAGGATTAATGAAGCTCAGCGCAAGTTCCTTCAGGAAGACTGGTACATTCACTCCGCAGCTGCTTATAATCAGCTCATCACGGGCGTTCTGTTAACCTATTACATTCACCTCAATCTCAGCAGCCAATCATCGTGCAGAAGCCAAACTTTAAAATGGTTCTCCTCTCTCCTGCTGTGATTTCAGGTGTTCATGCTGCCGCCCGCCTCCTCCCCATCCACCTCCTTTCATCACATCCAGTGCCAGGAGAGCTAATCCAAAGACCTCATCACATCCTCCTCTTCATCCCATCTCCTCATCAAATCCAGATCTTCAGCCTCATCACCAGTGTCTAGACCCCGGGGGCCGGGCTCCCTATATGCTCACGGCTGCATTTCCCCCTTTAGATATACGATTTCAGGATCTGGGTCTAATCGCCAAAGACTTAAAGGTAGGGTAGGTACGAATGGAGAAACCAGCTCGAGTGCGCTAGAATTTGAAAATACGCAACCGAAAAAAATCTGCCCCTTCCTTCAGACTTCCTCACAGAGCCCCTCCTCCAACACACACGAACGCGCACATGACCAATGAGGGCACGAGATAAGTTTGTGCCCAGATGGAAGGCTGACAGGCAGTTAGGCCATCCAGTTACTTTAGCCGGGCCGGCTCAGATGATTGGTCGTGCTTTTCACAGCGCCACGGCTTCCACTGATGATATTTTTTACATATAAGCACTCCGTAGCTTTTACAGTAAACATACTCTAGAGCAGTGCTTCTCAAACTTTTTCAGTAATGTACCCCCTTTGAAACATTTTCTCAGCCAAGTACCCCCTGATCAACCCCGAACATTTTTGATAGAAAAAGCCTATATATATTTATATGTATTTTTTTAATCAACGGTTTTTTTTATCTCACGTACCCCCTGCAGTACCCCAACGTACCCCCAGGGGTCCGCGTACCCCCATTTGAGAATCACTGCTCTAGACAAAAAAACACACACACTGAGGAAACAAAAGTAACAGTCCCCAAACACAGCTGAGCATGCAGTCATGGTTAAGAGGTTGTTTTGACTTTTCAATTAGGCGGTCTTTTGAAACCTCAGTGTGTAACGTATAGCCGGACTGATGGGATCAGCTTTATGTTACACAGCGCCCCCCCCCCACTCAGAGAGGTACGGTAAAACCCATCAGAGGACACACTCACACACTCCTCAGAGGGAGGACATCACCTCCGTACAGTAACCACAGCAAATACACACACTATAGTCTAAATACTAGTATCTTGTTACAATAGCGGTGTTTTTGTGACCTTCATGTAAATCAAACTCTAACGCAGGAAGTGAATCAGTTTGTAGGATTCCTCCTTGTGAGATTTTGTGACGTCTAAAGAAATCTGAGAAGTATACATTTGCTAACATTAACTCACCTAGGATTAAGCTATATTCAATTCCGATCCTGTCTTTTTTTTAGCCTGCTGCACCCTGTCTAGTCTGCTACATTGAAACATCGTATAGTGAGACAAATAAATCAGATTGACAGACAGGTGTGACGCTGTTAGCGCACAAAACATTGAACACTTATTAAACAAATTAGCCAGATTAATGGATACATTTGACACATTACATGATGGACTCAAGTGCTCATATTTATTAATGTGCATTGTCACTTCTCAACTAAAGAAATACAACGACAGAATGAATACACTAGTATACTGCTCCTAATACTGGATTGGTTGAATGCAGAGTTTGAGTTTTCCGTCTTAGTTTTCGATGGTAGAGTTGGGACGTGTTCTTACTTTAGTGTAACGGTGTTGAAGAGGGATGTGATTGGGACATGTAAGCTTTAGAGGGATGTATGACAAACAGGTGTCTACATAGAGAAGCACACACACATAAACGCTGCCTATTCGGTGCTGGATTCAACCAAAACACTTCCACCCTCCTTAGAGCTGTGGTTCTGAATTGTGTTGACTTTTCAATATCAACGTGTTAATGTGTACAACCCTACTGAATACTGATTAACAGTCAGGGACTTGTTCCTTGTGCTCGGCAAGGGTGTAAGGACAGAGTGTTTTGTTCTTTGTATAATCTGTAAAGTCCCCGTTGATATACGGCTTTATAAATCAAATGTGTCTGACTGATAACAAAAACAAATGAGCGATGGAGAGAAGGAGAACCTACCAGAAAGGCCGACCTGCTGGCCCAGCACTGTGGCGTACAGGTGGGTGATGTTTCGGGAGTACCCTCCAAACGGGCGCTGGGGGTCCAGAGTGAGGGTGATGGGGACGGAGATGTTGATGGGTCCCGAGTCCTCCAGCAGCTGGGGCACCTGGGTACTGGACCGGGCCTGGCCGCTGGTCACCACCAGGCTGTCGGGGGTGGTGGACTCGTTCAGGCCGTGCTTTATCGTCTCGTTTTCCGACACACAGAAGTCCAGCTCGTTGAAGCGCAGCAGGAAGGTGTTCCAGTCCTGGAGGAAGCAGGAAGTGTGTGTGTGTGTGTGTGTGTGTGTGTGTGTGTGTGTGTGTGTGTTAATGTTTTTGGCAGAAGTGTGATTTACCAAACATCTATTACCTGATGTACTTCTCTGATTTGGTAAGTGGCAGCCTGTTAAGCAGCTCTCCTTTAGATTTTTCCCACTACTCTTACTTTTTATTGGACTTAGTTGAATTAATCTCTAATCTTTGTGAATCTGTGCCGTCCTGTTTTTCATTCTTATCCTATTGCTGTTAAACTACTGGATTTCCCCACGGGGATCAGACCCCATTTACACGCAAACCGAATGCATACGAAATTTAAAAAGTCTTCCGTCCACACGAGACCGCACGGGAGCGCTGGAGACGCTGTAGTACATATAACGGGCCTGTAAGTAGCGTAGTAGCTTCCGCCACAAAATACACCAAAAGCAGCGAAGAAGACCCCCGAGCATGGTTGCCATGGTTGCCCTTCTGTTTATGCCTGGCGGTGGATTTAGCAACATGTAGTTCATGTAGTTCTCCATGTCCACTTGTTGCTGATGGTTGTGGTAGAGGAGCTGTAGATTTTGCACTAACAGCTGTAGCATGGTCAGTAGCAGTAGCAGTAGCTATTGACAGTAGCTACTGACCATGCTACATCAATGAGCAGCTGAGGTTGGGAGAGGCGGGGCTATGGCTTCATCGTTATCAGGAAATAATCGTATAGGACGTACACACAGAGCCGTTTGCAGATCTATCCACCTTTCAATTCAATTCAAAACCTTTATTTATCCAGGTAAAATCCCATTGAGATCAATGATCTCTTTTTCAAGGGAGACCTGCAAACACCTTGGGGCCCGTTATCGTTTTGCGGGGTCCGTTTCCGCGTTAATGTTACGGCCTCGTGTGAACGAACAGGCTATACGAAAGAGAAAAGTAGCGGATACAACCGTTTGCGTTCTCGTGTAAACAGCACCTTAGTAAAGGCCCATCTTATCAATGTGTCACTGAAATCATATTGAAGTGTTGGGAAATGTAATCTTTAGAGCAGGGGTTTCCAAACTTTTTTCACAGAGGGCCACATACAGAAAAATATACAAAGGGCTGGGCCGCTCACTAGAGGTATATCGCCTCATAAGTTAGAAAATCAATCAAATTTAGGTAAATGATGGTTCATTTTCATTTCATTTCATTTCAAACCTTTATTTAACCAGATTGGTCCCATTGAGATCATAGATCTCTTTTTCAAGGGAGACCTGCAGCATATAGGTTCCACATGAAACAATAAAGGACATCATACATTATATTTACAGGATACATTTACATAGTTATAGACATTTACAAGTGGCCATAGTATCAACGAGCATTTCATTTAGCCTAGCTTTAAAAACATGCAGAGGAATGAGATTGCTCAGTTTCAATTCTTGCTGAAGATTGTTCCAAGCAAGTGGAGCTGCACATAAAAGCTGTCTTACCTAAGACAGTCCTTGCTCTTGGCACATCTAACAAGACTACATCATGCCATCTCAGAGATCGATGGTTGATATTGATGAAAAAACACACAGCTCTCCGTAGGGTTTCATTTATTGTGTTGGCAGCACATTCCTTAAAACAGGAGGCTCAGATTATTATAATAAGAGGAAATATGAAGGGTGTAATTTATTTGAAAATGGATTCTATTAACACACGAATACTGTGTGATATATTTAAGAAGTACAATAGCAGATGTTTAATTGGTGGGCCATATTTCATTATACTTTTTTAATTAGCTGAGGGCCGATTCAAAATGGTCCGAGGGGCCGCATTTGGCCCTCGGGCCGTAGTTTGGACACCCCTGCTTTAGAGGGATGGCTGTGTCTACATAGAGAAGCACACACATGTAAACAACCAAAACACTTACGCCCTCCTTAAAGCTGTGGTTCTGAATTATGTTACTTTTCAATATCAACGTGTTAATGTTTACCCTACTGATTTCCCTGTGTGTTTTTGTCCGAAGGATTTGTTATGATTTACCAAACATCCAGTACCTGATTTACATCTCTGATTTATGTGTCACTGAAATCATATTCACCCACATTGAAATAGAGGATGCAATAGGGCCGAGTTATTTGGAAGAAATGTCTGAATGCCATTATTTTGACTGGAATGGTAATTGTGATATGATTCACAATATCGGAGGGAATTTCTTTTAACGATTTCTCTCCTTTGATTCTAGAAACCAGAGATGTGTTCTGAAGACTGCGTAGGGTTGGAAATCTCCACACCACCACTATACTTCATTCAGTTCAGTTTTTTGACTGTATATATTTAATTATATTTTTCCGATAACAAATATGACTCGTCCTGCTTTATTTGTGACAAAATGAGAACAGTTGTTCAGCACTATCATGCACAAAACACATCTTAGTTATTTATTGATAGATCTCTATTTTGGCTTATATGCTCCTATCCTATTCAGATCCTCATGCAAATCTTTGTTTTTATGTATTATACTCAGCACACTATTGGCGCGTTTCCACTGCAGCGGGTAGCTCGCTTTAAGCGTGCCGAGCCGTGCGGGGCCCGTTTTTGGTTGCGTTTCCACTTGGCCTAGTACCGGCTAGCGGGTCCTAATTCACAGTTTTTCTGGCCCGACTAAATCGTGGTTCTAGGGCCAGGAACAACCGGGCTGAGTCGGGCTGAGTATGCTAAACTAGAGAGAGAATCGCTGGCAAGGGGGCTACAACTACAACAAGATGAACATATTTGACCGTGATTTAATTGTAATACACGTTTCTAAATGATGCCGAAGTAACAACATACTGATACCGGTTAGTAAAAACCATGAATTAATGCTTTGACAAGTCTGCAGACAGACGGCAGGCGAAAAACCCTTTTAAAATGCGTGTTTTCTAAATGGAGCTTGGCTAAGCTAACGTTATATATGCTCCGACCGTCCACACTCACAACAACGGCCTATACAGACATAAATAAACCAGCGACTGTATTCACCATGACACAGACAGTCTGTGGTTTGTACTCGTTTAACTTGTGTCTAGTTTCTGAACAGATATGAGGAGCTGTGAGCTCTGAGTGCTAAGAGCTAACAGCTGTGTTGTTTTTCTGGGGCTCTCATTGAAGATGACGTCACGGCTCCGCCTACACTGCGTTACTATAGTTACTACCCCAGTTCCTAAACTGTAATGGAAGCGCAGCATTAAAGTGAGCCGGGCCTAATAAGGGCCTAATAACCAAACCGAGCGAGGCCGAGCGAGGCCTGCAGTGGAAACGCGCCATATGACTGCATTTCAAATGGCATTATGTGTCTTATATAGATAGACTCAAGCTTTCCCTTACAAAGTGCATAATGTGTTGTATTGCATGCAGTATGCAAACAAAAGGGAGACACTTGTTATCATAACATTGCACATTGAACTTCTTGCACTTATATATCTGCTGCACACAGGATTGTGCGTTTGCATGACCAGAAAAGCAGACTGCAAACTGCAGTGTGCGATCGGAAGCTGAAGCTCGTGAAGCAAACTGTATTACCTTCTATATCCTTCTTTCCGCATACTAATTATATTAAATACAAAACTTGATTTGACTTCTTGTCTTGTCTGAATGCACTGTCATTTAAGTTAGAAGCTGGTGGACATAAGGTTTTTATGTACTGCGTAGCTTGCACAGTATATCAAGAAAACATGAATCCCTAATTGTAATAGTGAGACCAGCTTATTTTAGCCTCCTAAAAATGAACTGGATTAGACTAGAAAAGGCTGACGAGGTCATAGTGCAAGTCCAACATGGTGCAACATTTGGGCAAATGCTTTCTTGTGGGGAAAAAGCAAGTCACAAAGATCTCAAAGAGACATTTAGCATCTGCAGCGACCTAGTATGAGAGATTCTTAATGGAGGAGCAGACCATATCATTCATCTTTTTAAGAGCTTTGTTTACGACTCACCTCCGTCAACTCTGGAGACTTGATCTCTTTAATCTTGAAGAAATATCCGATGGTGAGGAAGCCGATGGCCACCGCACTGACGCTGATCATAAAGATGACCAGCGGTGGACGGGTGTTGATGTAGCTCCTCAGGTTCTCTATAGGATTTAACAGGTACACCTGCATATGGACAAATAAGAGAAGAGAAGAGAAGACTTTATTGTTGTGCCAGAGTTACAAAAATACAATAAACACAGCAGCATAATAGTAAAACTGTACACTAAAAGAGAAATTAAATATCTACAGGAAACATGAAGCATAGACGGTGACATCATTAATGTAAATATGACCAGTATTTAGTAGTGCAAACAAAATACACAATGTCTTAACGATCAAGCATTAATCTCATGAACCTCAAGATCTCTTTAACACTGGCGGTAAACGACAGGCCTTGACACATGATTCACTTATATGTAACGTATAAATAAGGAAGTCTCAAAGCCACTTATCTCTCCTAAACAAAGGATATAACTGCCTGTGCAATAACTTTAAAGAAATGACGTTGAATTAATAAAAAAATATCTTAAAAGTGATTCATTAAAAAGATTGGGCCGGGATGTGGATAAAGGTGTGTTTAGCATATATAACATATTTAGGGTTATCGTTATGTGAATGTAAAGTTTATTTTGAATCTAATTGCGCATTTCCACGACAGCGCGGTTTAAGCGTGCTGTGCCCGGCCCGGCTCGTTATTGGTTGCATTTCCACTTGGCTTTTTCAGTTTTCTGGCTCTCCAAAATCGAGGTTCTTTCCGGGCCAACAACCGGGCTGAGTATGCTGAACTAGTGAGAGAACCGCTGGCAACTACTACAACATGAACATATTTGACCATGATTTAATTGTAATACACGTTTCTAAATGATGCCGAAGTAACAACATACTGATACCAGTTAGTAAAAACCATGAATGAATGCTTTGACAAGTCTGCAGACAGACGGCAGAGAAACACCTTTTAAAATGCGTGTTTTCTGAATGGAGATCGGCTAAGCTAACGTTATATATGCTCCGACCGTCCACACTCACAACAACGGCCGACAGACATAAATAAACCAGCGACTGTATTCGCCATGACACAGGCAGTCTGTGGTTTGTACTTGTTTAACTTTTGTCTAGTTTCTGAACAGATATGAGGAGCTGTGAGCTCTGAGTGCTAACAGCTAACGGCTGTGTTGGTTTTGTGGTTCTCATTGAAGATGACGTCACGGCTCCGCCTACACTGCGTTACTATAGTTACTGCCCCAGCTACTAAACTGTAATGGAAACGCAGCATAAAGTGAGCCTGGAAGGCCTAACGAGGCCTAGCCCTACCGTACTAAGCCGAGCGAGGCCCTGCAGTGGAAAAGGGCCATCAGTCAGTATCAGATTTGATATGATATATGGTTATGAGCGAAATGCAAATGATGTTTTATGCATTGTTGTGGTTAAGTTGATTACATGTAGCATCTGATGCTCTGAATTGAGGAAGGATGTAATCTAATTTAAACAATATCATAATTCAGGGTTAACGGTAATGATGTGCACAGGTTCCATGTAAGTCGAACTGGACACATTTGATTAATGATGAATCAATATCAACCCTTCAGTACATTTAGAGTCCCACCCAGTCTCCAACAGAACACATTTAAGGCTTGTATATAATCTTTGGTCGAGTTCCTTAATGTTCTTTTAGGCTGCAGCAAAGACGGCTTAGATCTTATAATTGTAATAAATGTATTAATGTGGAATGGGTTGTTAACATAAAGGTCATAAACGGACGTCTCTGTAGCACTGTTGCTTTTCATTTAACTACTGTTTCTGCCTGTAATGATATTTAAAGTTAGGGTATTATACAAACATGAATAACTCTTAATCAGTCGTACCCTAAAGATCACTTGGAAATGGGGTTATGAGAGGAAAGTAAAGATTGTCAATCTCAATTAAAACGTTTTACAAACCATCAAAAATCATCCATTTGTTTAAGAAGACATCGCTCCCATGCCGACAGTCTTATATAGTTTGACATAAAGTGTTGACTTCGAAGAACCATCTCTGTTAGTGCCGGGTCAAGATACTTTATAATCCAGAAGGCTGGTTTATCAAGTTGAACGAGTGACTAAAGTTCAAAAGAATGTAATGTAGACATTGCGTTTGACTTGGAACACAATGTGTTATTTCCTGTGCTACACACCTTGGTATGCATTGTATATTACAATTATGGTTGCAATTATCAAAGAGGGTCATGTTTTTTTAGGTGAAAGGTGTTTGTCATGTTATAAGTAGGGAGGTGTGTGGCGCAGTGGGTTGGTGTTGGTGTTTGGATCAGGTTCAAACCCCACTGCAGTCAGCATGTCGTTGTGTCCCTGAGACCCTTCACCCCAAAGTGCTCCAGTGGAGATTGTCCACAGTATTGAGTGGAAGTCGCTTTGGATAAAAGCGTCTAGCAAGGAACAAGTATTAAGCTATGTTTGCTTTTTTTACTCTTGAACTGTACATTTCTCTGATGTAATTTGACTTCACACCATTTGTTTTATATCTTAAGTTAATTTGCACAGTTGGATGAATGGTATGAAATATAATCAAGTGTTAAATCAGACTTTAGTTCCACCTGGAGTAAATCCACAAGCTACCCTGCAGTATACAAAGTCCTTCAAACTAGCTGCACCTTCACCAGCTTTGAGAACACTTTCATGATCATTATAAAACATATCATATATATTATTCTTAAATGGACCAATCTGCACAATGACTACTTTTACTGTCGCTACTTTCACTATATTTAGATGCTAATATTGTTTTACTTTTACTAACATTTTGATTGCAACCTACACTTTGGTACTTCTACTTTTACTTAAGAACAAGAGTACTTCTTTCACCTCTGTGTCGGATCAATAAAGTCCTTATATAATGTTTGTTATCGAAAGGCAGGCTCCCTAACACCTCAAAGTGAATATATATTAACCAAAAACCTATACATTTAAAGGGTTTGTGTTTGACTTTCTGCATTAAAGAGACTGCATCCAGATTACATGAGCTGTCAACCTTGTAGCACGATAAGCTAGCTGCCAAGCTGTGATATATGTGGGTTTAAACTGTAAAGCAGCGGTGTTAAATGTAATAAAAACAACACATTCTCACCATGTTGTCTTTCTCTACGTCGGATGCTAGCTGGGAGGTTCGTTGTGCGCCACAATAAAACAGCAGTTGGGCTAGCAAGCTAAGCTAAAGCTAGCATGTACTGCTTTTGCTAGCTGCCCCGAAATCTAGTCCCTCCTGCTGCTGAAAGCAAGGCTAAAAAGCAAAAGTCGGTGTTCGGTGGAGACAGCCAGACTTTCAGCGTGAGAAGAACCACGTATACTCCTTCCCATTATTTGCTGTAATGGTTCCCTGCAGCTGTGCTGACAAATATCTCCTGAGTACAGTCTGGATAATAACGTCAATACTGTATCTGGGTCCTCCTCCGCACTGCGTAGTAAAAGCGTCGCAGCGCCGCCTTCCTGTTATTCCCGTAGAACGTGCACTGGAAATTGGTTCTCGATATTGGTCGAACATACGTTGAGTGACGTCCCGACATACGCAATTTACGTAAGAGGGAACGTCCAGTGTGTTTACATTTTTGTTGAGGGTTAAAGCTGTAACGTAAGGAAATGTAAGGTAATATAGCACATTTTCAGACACAGAGGCAATTCAAAGTGCTTTACATCACAAAATAAACATAATGGAATAACATATTCATAACAAACATGCATTAACGAGATACAGAATAGTTTAAAAACAACATTGTAAATATGGTAGGTGCTAAAAAAAAGTTAAAAGGCTTCTGGGTAAGCAGCTGAAAAAAATAGTGTTTTTAGCCTCGACTTAAAAGAACTCAGTTGGTGAAGACCTCAGGGTTTCTGGAAGTTTGGTCCATTTTTGGGGAGCATAACAACTAAAAGGTAGGAAATATAACACTACCCAACACAGACCCCACAACACCTGTAACAACAATGTTACATAAAACTGTGCAATATATACTTTTATACTAGGGAATATTGTCATTCTGCAGCTACTTCATTACTTTCTACTTGTTTCACTTATTATTTCATAATGCGGCTACATACCTTTTTTATACTTAGTTGAAATGTCTCATTTGTTTGCTCACTTAAATACTGTCACTTTACTAAATACAGTTTTTATCGTGTCTTTATCAGTACTGTCTCTTTGCTGTAACTATGCAATCAAGGAATTCAGATTCTGATTAACACACGATGAAGACGGCTCATGATTTATGCTTGTTTCATGTTTCTCACTCAGTGTTTTGGTTTCCTGTGTGATTCAGCATCACCTTCCTCATTCTGTTTCAAAGTACTGTTTAACTCTCAGAGCTCATCCTCTTCTAGGTTAACAGAGGACGATTACATTTCTTGAATGAGATGGAAATAATGTGATCAATGACTGAAGGAGAAACACTGGATGTCATTATTAATTGAGTTCAGCTAAACCTATTGCAAAATACATGACATGTTGTTTTGACCAAGAGTCTCAATGTGTGGTGACTTGAGTCCTCTTGACCTACAATGTTAGGGAGTCATTGAAGGCAGCATTACAAGGGACATTGTGATAGGGACTAGAGCAGGCTATTTTATTATTACCTATTATTATTATTATTAGACCATCAAGTGCTCCACAATCTGTGGTTGGAAATATGAATACATAAACAATCCTATCTGGATTTAATACAAATAAATACACATTTAATGGCATTTTTTCTGGCATCTGGATATTTTATGTTATATTTCTTTATTTCAGAAAAATAATTTAGAGACATTTTTACAATAAAAAAAACCAAAGACTGAGATTTTCACTTTTGTCCTCTTACTTCTTTTATTAACAAGAAACATGTTATTTTGTACAGACATGTTAATGTAGCACTCATCTCACATGTTGAAAATAGAAACACCATTTATTACAAACTCAACCTGTTAGCTTTTCTTTTTGATCACTTTTCTTTTAATGTGTTTTATTTCCTTCTTCAAACTTTCATTTATGCGTTCAACACTTTGAGACTAAGTCAAACATAGCCTCCATGGCTCAACAGACACAGGAAGGAGCGCCGCCTAAAGAAACTCCAACATCTACAGAACAACTCACGAGAAGATGTTAAAGCACATCCCATAATGTTTGATTGACAGCTGATCTCTGTGCTGTGACGACATGAACAATCAGCTCTCAGCAACAATGATGGACACACAGTGAGTTTAAGAAGTAGAAGAGTTCCTCAAATGACTTCAGGCTATTTCCGTTTACACAACTCAGCTGTGGCTCCATAATGAAAAAGCAAAACTCCAGCATGTAGCGGCTGAGTGAATGTGGTCTGGACTCTGTGGAGGAGAGTCATGGTTTCATAGACGATGCTGTAGAAGGACAGAATACCTGCTCTGTGATCCAGGTACACTCCTACTCTGGAGGACTGAGGACCTGAGACGGGAGTGCGTATACTGTTGTAAAGAAATGAATAACTGTTTTGGTCACAATCTAAGGACCAAGATTTGTCATTGAATCCAAATCTACATTCAGCCCCCCCCCCTGCTCTGAGGATATTCTTGTATACGACTGCTACACGAACTCCTTCCCCTCTCCACTCCACCTCCCAGTAACAACGTCCAGTCAGACTCTCTCTACTCAGGACCTGCTCATAAAAAGTGAATCTGTCTGGGTGACTGGAATAAGACTGTTGTTGTTCCATGTATGTTGTTTTTCTGCTCCCCTCAGATAATAACAGATATGTGTATGCTGTGTTTGGATCCAGTGTGATCTCCTGTGAATATTGTAAGAACCCAGCTCTGGTGGTGGGCTCTGCTGCTGACAGTAAAACATCCACTTCAGACGATGAGACGTTTGTCCATCCCTCTCTCAGGACGTCCTGTAGTTTGTCTCTGACTGCTGACAGGGCCGCCGTCACGTCCTCACAGTAGCTCAGAGGACGGATGTTGATGCTAGAGGAGGGTGTAGCTTCACTGAGGGCTGGCAGTGAGGGGTAGCTGAGCAGAAACTGGTTGTGATCCTCTGTGTGAGACAGCAGCTTCAGCTCAGCGTCTCTCCTCTTCAGCTCCCTGATCTCCTGCTCCAGCTTCTCCTGAAGCTCTTTGACTCGACTCACTTCTCTCTTCTGCTGGGATCTGACCTGCTGCTTCACATCAGAGCTTCTCTTCTCCATGAGACGGATCAGCTCAGTGAACGTCTTCTCACTGTCCTCCACTGCTTTATCAGCAGAGCCATTGACGGCCTCCACCTCCTGCTGAAGCCGCTTCACCTCCTTCTCTCTGTCCTGGATCCTCTGCTGGATGTTTAGTCGACTCCCCTCCAGCTCTCTCTGCCTCTCAGTCCTCTCTGCTGCCGCTGACACCGTGTCGTGGCCCTCATGGTCATCCATAGTGCAGATTAAACAGATACACTGCTGATCACTGCGGCAGAACATATTCATCACCTCGTCGTGACGAGAGCAGATGTTCTCCTGGAGCTTCTTGGAGGGCTCCACCAGCTTGTGTTTTTTTAATGGAGCTGCGTCATAATGAGGCTGGAGGTGTTGGTCACAGTAAGAGGCCACACACTGCAGACAGGACTTACAGGCTCTCAGTTTCCTCCCAGTGCAGACATCACAGGCCACATCTTCAGCTCCAGCATAGCGGAGATCAACAGGAGCAGCTTGGAGTCCAGTCTTCTTCAGCTCCTCCACTAAAGCTGCTAACATGGTGCTTTTCAGCAGGACAGGCCTCGGTTTGAAGCTCCTTCTACACTGAGGGCAGCTGTGGATTAGCTCTCTATCCCAGTGGTGTTTAATGCACTTCATGCAGTAGCTATGTCCACAGGGAATAGTCACCGGATCCTTCAGTAGATCCAGACAGATGGAACAAGAGAAGGTTTCCCGGTCCAGCTGAACTCCTTTCTGCGCCATTTCACCTCTCAGTAGCAGCGAGCGTCTGAGTTTCACTTCCTGAGAACTGTGTGAGCTGTGATCTGAACAGCATGTGTGATGTGGCTGTCAGCTCTTGGACTTTACCCACATGTTGGTTACACCCATCCTCCTCAGTTTGTATCTAAAGGGGAGGAACCAGGAAATACAGAGTGGAGCTGGCTGTGTGTGAGAGCAGGAAGAAGAGGGAGGGCTTATCTGATTCATTCCAGGAAGAGGAGCAGCGCTGACTCTGAACTGTTTCCTCATTTACAAACGGAGCCTCGCTGACAACCTGCTCTACATTTGAAAACAGTCTTCAGCTCATGGTAGCAGTGGTGTAAGAAGTACTCAGATATTCTACTAAAGCAAAAGTAGAAATACTAAGGTATAACAAATACTGTGTTACAAGTAAAAGTACAGAAGCTTTGGTATCAAAATATTAGAGTATCAAAAGTCAAAGTACTCCGTATGTATAATGGCCTTTTTCAGAATCATATATATATATATTGAGTTACTGGGCTACTATAATGATTATTGATGTGTTTTATCACAGTTAGTAAATGTAGAGCTAATTTGAATAACTTGATGTCCTGCTGCTGCTATCTTAACCTATAAATACCTGTCAACGTGTAATTAATATAACACTACCCAACACAGATCCCACAACACCTGGAACAACAATGTTGTAACATAAAACTGTGTGTGTACTTTTATTCTAGGGAATATTGTCATTCTGCAGCTACTTCATTACTTTCTACTTGTTTCACTTATTATTTCATAATGCGGCTACATACCTTTTTTATACTTAATTTAAATGTTCTCATTTGTTTGCTCACTTAAATACTGTCACTTTACTAAATACAGTTTTTATTGTTGTCTATCAGTACTGTCTCTTTGCTGTAACTATGCAATCAAGGAATTCAGATTCTGATTAACACACGATGAAGACGGCTCATGATTTATGCTTGTTTCATGTTTCCCACTCAGTGTTTTGGTTTCCTGTGTGATTCAGCATCCTTCCTCATTCTGTTTCAAAGTACTGTTTAACTCTCAAAGCTCATCCTCTTCTAGGTTAACAGAGGACGATTACATTTCTTGAATGAGATGGAAATAATGTGATCAATGACTGAAGGAGAAACACTGGATGTCATTATTAATTGAGTTCAGCTAAACCTACTTATTGCAAAATACATGACATGTTGTTTTGACCAAGAGTCTCAATGTGTGGTGACTTAAGTCCTCTTGACCTACAATGTTAGGGAGTCATTGAAGGCAGCATTACAAGGGACACTGTGAATAGGGACTAGAGCAGGCTATTTTATTATTACCTATTATTATTATTATTAGACCATCAAGTGCTCCACAATCTGTGGTTGGAAATATGAATACATAAACAATCCTATCTGGATTTAATACAAATAAATACACATTTAATGGCATTTTTTCTGGCATCTGGATATTTTATGTTATATTTCTTTGTTTCAGAAAAATTATCTAGAGATATTTTAATAATTAAAAAAACAAAAGACTGAGATTTTCTCTTTTGTATTTTAT